AGGCTGCAGAAAGAGTCAGGAGCCCAGAGGAGGGGGTGGGGGCAGAAAGTGAAAATGAAAGCAGACAACAGAACATTGTTAGAGATCAGGAAAGGATGTGAAAGGAGACAATTTTAGAGAAGAAAAATTTTTGGTCGCTACCCGGAATCGAACCCGGGACCTTTGAATGAGAGGCCAACACCTTAACCTCTAGGCCACGAGAGCCCCCAGCTCACTCTTTACTATGAACTGTTTTTACTGTTATTGAAAATGGAGATACGACAAGAAAGCACTGGGGTCGCGATTAGCTCATCTACCAATCTCTCCAAGGTTAATCTGACTTACTTGCACAGCCTGCATGCTTCTTGATAAGTTGAGCCCTGTGGGGAAAAAAAAAGAATTAAAAAAAACAAAAAAACATTAAAATTATACAAGAAATACATGTACTTCATTGAGGGTCAAGTCAGGTCTTTTTCCAGTTATACAAAGCAAGACAAAATCAACTTTGGACCTTGCATGCGCTGTAAAACTCTTACTAAAACAAAAAACAAAAACAACTTTGGACCATAGCTTCAAAGTGCTGCGGGTAGTTCTACATATTCGCGTGCACATATGACCTTAAGCAGTTGCGAGCGCCGTAAAACCCTTACTAAACAAACAACAGTTTTGCGTAGGCTGCCATACTGAGCTCCCCCTGGCCCATTTAAGATTCGAATCGTTAGATTATAGGGCTCGTAACCACACAAATCGCACGAGTGTGCACAGCCCTTATCAAAGTCCTCTTTGCTTCCACTGATAATAGTAAATAAATAATTTATGGCATAATTTACAAAGCGGTCAATCCCGGTTAATTAAAGAACACAGTTCTTCCTTTCCAAAGTCCTCTTTGCTCTCGCTGATAATGATAAATAATTTATCGCATAATTTACATAGCGCTCAACCCTGATTGATTAAAGAACACAGCCCTTCCTTATCAAAGTCCCTTTTGCTCTCGCTGATAATGATAAATAATTTATGGCAAAATTTACATAGCGCTCAATTCTGATTGATTAAAGAACACAGCGCTTATAAAAGTCCTCTTTGCTCTCGCTGATAATGATAAATAATTTATTGCATAATTTTCATAGCGCTCAATCCTGATTGATTTACGAACACAGCTCTTAATGGTAAATAATTAATCTATGGCATAATTAACATAGCGCTCATCCCCAATTGATTAAAGAACACAACCCTTCCTTATTAATTTAATAATGTCCTCTTTACTCTCGCTGATTATGATGAATAATTTATGACACAATTTACATACTAGCGCTCAATCATGATTAATTAAAGAACACAGCTCTATGAAAATACAGTGGCAACACATAAACAACAGTCAAGAGCATTGTGTTCTCACTTGAATATATTTTTAAAAATCTAGATACAATGCAATCACTTAAATCGGAGAACAGATATGACTTGAAACTAACGTTTGAATGAACTCAACGATCTGATCTGAATAGATCTCTCTTAGTTAAATAACCATGCAGTACATGATCCATCAAATGAAATTAATGCTTGTTTAAAGTTTTACTGAGTGTTAAAGTAATTTCCTTTTGTTCGCTGATGACCTTAAACGGCCTTGTTTAAATGCGGTACCAATAAATAAAACAAAAGCGAACAGAGAGGTAGGCCTTTAATCAGATAAGTGTCAGTTTGATTTTTTGGGTTTTTTTTTTTTTTAGTAAGAGTTTTACGGCACTTGCAAGACAATAAGGTCATATAAGTGCTGATGATTAGAGGTGTTACAAGAAAGTAACAAACACGAAAAAGAAGGAAGGGATATAAAGATGACAGATGTTTGACAGGTAAAAAGAAGTTAAACCACACCAGAGCACCTGCCAACCACCCACTGTTGGTTTGAGTTTGCCACAGCAAAATCTTGCTGGCTAGGACTTCATAAAATGAGCCTGATTGAGAGAATGCACTGGGCGCATTAATTAAATTATACATTATACACGCATCGAATCTCGGTAACCTGCCAAAGACACATCCGTGACCACTTTGAAAAAACCCCTCAAACAACACACATTCAAACAAAAAAACACCTCCCTC